ATTCCCGGAACCTCTGCTCAGACCAGGAAAGTACTTTTTTCTCTTTTTTCTTTTTAAGGGCCATTTTGAGGAGTTTGTTTTGTTTTTGTTGGGAGGTGGGGGGGAACATCCAGCAGTACTCAGGGATTACTCCTGGGTCTGTGCTCATCTGGCAGGGCTCATGGAACCCTATTATGGGGTTATGGGGGTCGAACTCAGGTCAGCTGCTTGTGAAGCAAGCACCCTGCCCACTGTACCCTCTCTTGCCCCTTTTTGAGGGCTTTTAAGGGAAGCGGCTTAGGAATTTTAAGGTCCTGAAAATCAGTGAGAGGGCCTATGACAATCTCCCTGTTCTTTGGAGGAAACGCGGCTCATGGTTCCTACGTTGGTCCCCAGGCTTGTGCCTGTTGAGTGGTCCAGTTGCCTGGATGCTGCCGCCACGGCTTGCCCACTGACCCCAAGGGAAATTTCTAGATGGCGTTCGTTGCACTGGAAAGAAACTGTTTTATGTGAGCTTCTCCACTGGGTCCAAACCCCCCAAAAGAGCAGATCACGGCGGGAGTCTGGATACTTAAAGGTGCTCACCTAGAGTGTGAGAAGGGGAGAGAGAGGGAAAGGGAGGGAGGAAGGAGAGAAGGAGGGAAAGGAAGAACAGAGGTGGGAAGGGCAGGGCAGGGCAGGGAAGGGAAGGGGTGAGGGGAGATGTGGGAAGGCGACAAGAGGAGAGAGGAGAAGACAAAGGGAGAAAACCCAGAATCGTGAAGAGACCACCTTGAGGGACAGGAGAGATAGTACAGCAGGTAGGCGCTGGCCCTGCCCACAGCTGCCCTGGGCTCATTCTCCAGCACTGCTTCAGGTGCCCCACTACCCAGCATCCCTGAGAGCAATCCCTGAGCACGAGACAGGAGTAAGCCCAGAGCACTGCTGGGCGGGGGACAAAACCAAACAAGAACTTGAGAGGGCAGAGCCGGAGTAGCCCAGTCTGCTCTTGGCCCTAGACTCCGCCTCACCCTGACCTGTGGGTTAGGACTCAGCCTGGACGCTTCTAGAGGAAGTCATGTCTTTCGAAGAATCCGTCCCTGGCACGTTGGTTGAAGACTTGTCCTGTTGGTAGCAGGTTGAGGCTGCATGGGGGGAAAAAAAATGACAGCCATGGAGCGGTCTTGGCAAAGAACCCCACCTATCCAGACCCTAGAGTCAGTCTGCTAGCATCCCCTCCCCCAAGGGGGCTCAGAGTTCGGGGACCTTATCCTGCATCCTCTTTTGTTTAGAAGTGACTTTAGGGGCCAGAGGGACAGTACAGCGGATAGGGCATTTGCCTTGCATGCGGCCAACCCAGGTTCAATCTCCCATATCCCATATGGTCCCCTGAGCACCACCAGGAGCAATTCCTGAGTGCAGAGCCAGGAGTAACCCCTGAGCATCCCTGGGTGTGACCCAAAAAGAAAAAAAAAGTGACTTTATTTTAAATCTGACTTTGAAAGATCATGAGCTTCCATGGCCTCTGTCTTGCCTCTTCCAGTTAGCAGAAGGCCAGAGAGAAACTTTGGTCATTCCTGTGTCAACTCACATGTCAAAGAAAAGTGCACTGGTGGAGGTGCCAGACGGGTGCCAGAACACTGTATGACTAAAACCCAGTCGTCAGCAGCTTTGTAATGGGGTATCTCATGGTGATTCAATAAGCACTGTAGCACTGTTCTCCCGTTGTTCATCGAGTTGTTCGAGCGGGTCCAGTAACATCTCCATTGTGAGACTTGTTACTGTGTTTGGCATATCGAATACATCACGGGTAGATTGCCAGGCTCTGCCGTGCGGGTGAGATACTCTCGGTAGCTTGCCGGGCTCTCCGAGAGGGGCGGAGGAATCAAACCTGAGTCAGCCGGGTTGGCCGCATGCAAGGTAAATGCCCTCCTGATGTGCTATCGCTCCAGCCCTGGTGATTCAATAAAAGGAATTTAATTTTAAAAAAATTTTAAAAAGGTCACCAGGAAGGGGGCAGTACCGTCTGCACTCCAGCACCGTCCCAGAGACAGCAGCAGCTAATTTGAGAGGTGGCCTGCACCCTCCCCCCACCACACACACACACACACACACACACACACACACAACTGGAGGTCCCTTGGCTTGGTCACAGGGCGTGTGTTATTCCTGTTTGGTGGATAAAACCAATCAGAGGAAGATGGTTTCAATCAGATCTTATCGTGGGAACAGATATTTTAGGACCCCTAGTTTTGAAGTCCTAGAACATATTTTAAATGGGAAACAGACCATCGCCATTGAAAAAAAAAAGCAACCCGACATTTGGCTATATGCAGATTAGCACAGCAAAATATGTGTGTGTGCGCGCACACGTGTGTGTGCCTAAGTCTCCCAGTCTTGTTGACTGAAAGGCCCCAATATGAGCACCTCCTCCCCATCTCTCCACTTGACCTCCCAGAGAGGGGGGTCTCCTTCCACCCACTAAAAGAGGAGTGAATTGTTCACTCCTCTAAGAAGACTGAGCTGGTTCAGTCTTCTTAGAAGAAAGTAAATTCAGACCTCGGGAAAGGAGGAAGTGGCGGACTTTGCCATTCTAAGTCAGAAAAATCTTGATTTTTTTGTTGTTGGTTTTGTTTTTGTTTTGGAAATGATCAATGATCGCTCGGGCTAGGAGCTGCATGCAGAAAGGAGATAAAGGGACAAACTCAGTAACCTCTCAGTATCTGGGTTGCAGAGCACAGTGCCCAGAAGGGGTGGGGGGGGAGAGAGAGAAGGGAAAGAAGGAAAGTGCCTGCCATAGAGCCATAGACCCAGGCTGGGAAGGAAGGGGGGAGTGGAAAATGGGAGGGAAACTGGGGTCATTGGTGATGGGAAATGGTCACTGGCGGAGGGATAGGTGTTGGATCACTGTATGACTGAAACCCGTTCACGAACAGCTTTGTAACTGTAGCTCATGGTGATTCATTTAAAAAATTAAAATTGAACAAACAAAAACAGAGATTCTCAGGCCCAGACACTGGGGCATGGCTCCGAGGGGGAGCACACACCATTGCTCCATCCTCAGTATCATGGCCTGGCGGGGGGGGGGGGGGGGGGGGGTCAGGGATCAAACCCAAAGTCCTCACCTGCCCTTGAGGGGACTGGCTGGACCCTCATCCCCAGTCCTGTCCCTGCCCGTGTGGGTCCACACTGGCTTTGGTGGGTCCCTCTTGCAGACCCCCACACCACAGTCCCAGCCTGGAAGTTTCTGCAGGCTGCTCTGACCTCTCCTGCATCCCTGAGTCTGAGTGAAGTCCCTCACTATGTTGTTAGCGCACATGCACACCACACACACACACACACACACACACACACACACACACACTTCTGATTATTGGCACACACACACACACACACACACACACACATACAGCACAGCGGTAGGGCGTTTACCTTGCACGCAGCCAGCCAGGCCGAGCCGGGTTCTATTCCTCCGCCCCTCTCAGAGAGCCCGGCAAGCTACCAAGAGTATCTTGCCCGCACGACAAAGCCTGACAAACTACCCATTACATATTCAATATGCCAAACACAGTAACAACAAGTCTCACAATGGAGACATTCCTGGGCCCGCTCAAGCAAATTGATGAACAACGGGAGGACAGTGACAGTGACACACACACATACACTTACACACACATACACACCCTTCTGATTATTGGCCACTGTGGTTTCTGAGCTTCCCGATTCCCACTTTATCTCCAACGGCTTCTTAGCAACCCAAGAGTCCCCCTCTGTCCACCTCAGAGCACACCTGCCCTCTGGCTTAACAGAAGTGTGCTTTGGCTAGTGGTCATTTGCTCAGCTGGTCACAGGACCATTCACCATCCATCACGTCGATCCAGCTGAGCTGGTTCAGCATTGGGGATGGGAAGTCCATCTTGCAGTATCTCCATTCAACTATTGACCCGAACTGACTTTACACTTCATTGGTAGGCCTCTGGTTCTATGGCGGTGGGAAGAGACCTTTCTTTGAGGTTAACTTGGCAACTAGATTCATGTCTTTTATAATTTGGCCTTTCTTATATGAGACATTTTTTAAGTTGTTCGTGACTTGTTACATTCAGTATTCCAACATCAATCCCACCATCATTGTACCTTCCCACCATTATTGTTTCCAATTTTCCCAACCCCCTCTCAAGCCTGACCCTCTTGCAGGCCCTGAATAATTTATTTTATATCGCTTGTTATAATTTGCTAAAAATGATCAAAAAATACTTCCTTAGATGAAAGTGCATAAATATTGTTGTATCTCACCATGGGGCCATTAAGCCCTTGTAGAAGAGATTACTCACATGTTGTTACAGATTAAGTCTTGTGTGTTGGTATTTTTTTAATCAAGATTGGTATATTTTAAATAAGTCAAATCCACCCGGGTCCGCCATAAACAAGTCTGGTTGGGGTTTGTCAGCATCTTTGGAACCTTGGAACTCTGAAACCTCTTTTTTTTCTAATTTTTATTTTATTTTTATAAATTTGTTCACAATAATTCATTATATTTAATATTGAAACACCAATCCCAGTACCATGCACCTTCCCACCACCATAGAGGAAAGTGTGTGAAGATTGTTGTATTTCATCCTGAAGCTGTGAAGCCCTTGTATAAGAGATTACAAACATGTATGTTAAACCCCAAAAAATGTGTGCTACTTTTGGTACATCAGTGGAGTAGAGCATTCACAGCTGCACACACCAGGAATTCTGAAAGTTAGAATATGATTATAGAGCAGATTCTCTCATGGGTAAGGCCTGTGTCACTGTCTTCCAAAGGAGGTTTATTTCAGAGTCTCTGGATCTTGGCCATTGATGAGATTACATGGTGCCCGGGGCAGTTTGTGGGTGTGACTGCCAGGCTTCTGAAAACTGGGGATCTGGGGGGAGGAGTCCCAGTCCTGCTCCGAGCAAGTGAGCTTGGATCTGAAACCTTTTGAATGCTGGTCCATGTGACCCCATTTCCCTGCTTGAAGCACACTCCTTCTGATCTCTTCTATCTCCTTCTGTCTCAGGCTTTACAAGACGAACTAGAAAATCGAACGAATCAGGTGCGAAATGTGGAGAAGAAGCTCCAGCATAAGGAGTTGGAGGCCCAGGAGCAGGTAGGCACCTGCCCCCCACAACCCCTACACACACACACACACACACACACACACACACACATGCACGCACACACGCACACATGCACACACACACAGACACGTGTGGTCACTACGTATGCTGGTTTTCACTCTTTGTGCATTGGTTTTAAATGGTATGAGAGTAAATCTGGTAGATAAATTTGAGGAAATTCTGAGCTCATGAAAAGAGGAAACACTGCAGTAAGGCTCCTAGAGAAGCTTTTTTGATCTCTGGAGATTTTTCAAAAAGGATCCCAAGAAGGGCTGGGTCAGTAGGACAGCAGGTAGGAGCATTTTCCTTGCATGCGGCCAACCCGAGTTTGATCCCCGGCACCGCATATGGTTCCTCAAGACTACCAGGAACGCCCCTGAGTGCAGAGCCAGGAGTATGCCCTGGGCACATCCAGGGATGGTCAAAAAGACAAAAAAACAAATAAACAACGACAAAACACCACCAAGTAGGATCCCAAGATAGGACATTGCACAGAAGAATGGCAGAAGTAAGCCCTTCATTGATCTTGAAATTTATTTTTTAGCTCAAAAAAACACCATTTTTTTAATTGAAGTAATATCGCATTGTATCTTTTATAAGTTTCAGGCCAAGGGTGGGGAGGGGGGAATCATTGGGTCATTGAGGCTCCTCATGGTATTTACTACATTAAATTCACCCCTGGCAGTCCAACTCTGTTCATCTTACATTCTTTCATTTAGCCCACTTACCCGCCCCTCCCCCTTCCCTCCTGACAGTCACTTAACCTGACTTAAATTCCGTTTCTTTGGTTTCTCTGTTCCATGTGGGAATGAGTTCATGCAGTGCTTATCTTCTGCCATCTGAACTCTTGCACTCTGCATAACACCTCCACTCTGCCCTTCATCCATGTTGTTGCAATGGTGGGGTTGAGTCTTTTTGATGGATTCATAGTATTCCACTGGCAGGTGTGCCATATCCTCTTTGTTGCCTCATCTGGTGATGGGCACTGAGGTTGCTTTCGGCTCTTTGCTACTGTAAATAATGCTGCAATGAAAGGGGGAGCACATAGATTGCTCCAAATCAGTATTTTGGGTTTGGGGGTTGTGGGAAATGCCCAAAAATGAGATAACTGGGTCATTTGGAATTTCAGTTTTCAGTTATTTTAAGAATTGCCTTCTCCTCCTTCTGCTGCTGCACCAGCCTACATTCCCAGCACCGTGTATAAAGCATCTCCTCTCTCCCTGCCCTCCCACACCCTTGTCTCGTGGACCTTTACTGTTCTCAGAGGGATGAACTCATCAACCAGCAGTTTCGGCTTGTGGGTGCCCAGTTTTCATACTTGCTGAATTGAGTTGCCACCTCTCGTTTCTTCCTGCTCTCTGAGATTATCCTGTGTAATGTCACCTCACTGTCTCATGTGTGATTCTGTAACATCTTGATCTTATCAGATCAGTGGAGGCCTCACCCAGATTGACGGTAGGACTTTGAAAGTGCATTGGTAATCAGTGGACAAGGTTCAGTGAGCCTTCCTCCTATTTACATTTCCTGGACCAACACACAGGGACCTGGTGTGGGACTCTCCTCCTTCCTTTGGCCCAGGTTGGGCCTGCTGTGGCCACTCACATCTGGGTGCCCGTTTCCTTCAAGGAAGAATTCTGGTTCTCTCTGAGTGCCGAGGTACCCGCTTCTTTAAGTCCTTTCCACGTGTGTTTGTGGGTGCGGATGGCACATTCTCTGCTTACTCCCTCCTGGATGGGAAAAAAGACCATTCCCCTTCCCACTGCCCTGCCTAGCGGGATCTGTTCTACGCAGCCCAGAGGAGAGAAACAAGGTCACTTTTCTCTGTAATAGTACTTGCGTGCATTCACATATGTGTATAAAGACATGCGTTATATAGAGCCTGTGTCAAATATCGGGGGGGGGGGGGGAGACAGTAGGTCCCTGGAGTGAAAAATCAAAAAGAACCACCCTGCATCAAATTCCCTCCAGATTCCAGAAGCCACAAAGTAGGCTGCATATCAGTTCATCTTCCCTCCTCAGAGCAATTCAAGGTCATGAGTGCCCGGAACCAACCATGACGCCTCCGAGAGGCTGAGTCATTGGTTCAGGAGACCATCAAGCTGGTCAGCCAAAGCTGTGTATTCGGTCAGACCCCACTTATCTGAACGAAAGCCTTCTCCCCTTTTGTGGCAGCTTTTACATTGCAACATTTCTTTCTCTTTAAAAAGAATTTTTTTTAAATCACCGTGAGATACAGTTACAAGTTTTCATGTTTGAGTTTCAATAATCAAACACCCATCCTCCACCAGTGCACATTCTCCACTACCAGTGTCCTCCATATACCCCCCTTTCCCCCCCTCCCCCTGCCTCCATGGCAGACAATTTCTCCCATACTTCCCCTCTACTTTGGGGCATTATGGTTTGCAATACAGATACTGAGAGGCCATCACATTTGGTCCCTTACCTACTTTTAGCACACATCTCCCATCCCGAACGATTCCTCCAACCATCATTGACTTATTGATCCCTTCTCTATCCCAGCTGCCTTCTCCCCCAGCTCATGAGGCAGGTACCAACTATGGGGCAATATTCCTGGCCCTTGAGGTCACAACATTTCTAGGTGAAATAAAGCAGAGGAGCAAGCTTCGGCAGGGAAGCCCAACGCCCCGCGGCAGAAGACAAATAGCCTTGCAGGCACCCATTCAGGAGCAGGTGCCATTGGCCGGCCCTGGGCCCCAGGAAGGAAAGAACTGAGGAAACTCAGCCAAGCAGATCTGGCCCCGGCAACAGCTGCCGGCTCGGATGGCAGCCTGGTGCTGCAGTGGCATCCACTTGGAGATGTCGCAGCAGGCCTGCTGACCTCTGTCCGCCACCCCCACCCGCACCCCCACCCCCATCCTGGACTTGGGAGAACAGCGGGAAGCCAGCACATACCAGCAGGAAGCCGGGCTCCCCGGAGGACCTGGGTCTCTCCAAGCTGGGATAAAATATGACTTAAGGTAAAAACATTGTTGACATCGTTCTGAGTCATGGCAAAACTTCACACAGAAAAATTCCATGATATATTGAGAGTAGGGAAATGAAGGGAGCCCAAATAAACAACAGAGAAGACTCTAAGAACGACTTTTATTATTATTATTGACATCTTTTTGATCATCAAAGTTGCTTTCATCTTTGTAGTGACAATAGTTCTTTCAAATATTTCATACACTAATTCCTGATATCTACTATTAAGTTGTAGTTGACCAGAGAAATGTCAGGAAATACCGAGGGATACGGCTAAATATTTCAGAATATTTGCAGTCATCAACCACTGGGTTCTTTCCATAAGGCCCTTAGGGTGGGGGGTGAACGGGCCAGGTGCAGCCTGGTAGGTGGTTTGGTGGACAGAGCCAATTGTTTCAGCAAAATTGAAGTGTATAAAGGAGAATGAGCAACATTCATCTATATTTTGTTTAATTAAACTTGCATCTAAATTTGGTCAAGACCTAAGGGCCTTGACCTAGAGACTCCCAAATGAATCTCAGAATAGATTAGCTCCCTACAGATATGTCTCTGGACCCCACTCATAATTTTAGAATTCCAGGAGTATGCGGCCGCAAAAGCAGCCACGCAACTTCTCACGATAGTCATAATAAGCAACAGAAAATAAATTACCTAGCATCTACCTGTGGCAGGAAAGTTCGAAGTAATGGTGTTGGGAAGCTATACTGGGGGTGGGATTGGTGTTGAAATATTGAATGTAATCAATTAAAGTGAACAATCCTATGAAAATAAAATTTTTTAATTAAAATAAATACATTTGACCAATACCCTCCACCCCCTTGCATCTGACAGTAGAAGAAGTAGTCGCAAATAATGTGTGGTCAACCATACTTTTAGGTATGCCAATCTAATGAGCTTCCTGAGGATATTTTAAATTGCTCTGTAGGATTTTCTTTTTTATGACAGTAACAGTAGCAGGCCCAACAGCAGCCGGGCAGAAATGACTGAAACGTGCACAGAACAGCCCCTTAGAACTTTCTTCTCTTGTCTTTTCAACCAAATATTAGTATCCCAATACTAGTTGCGTAAAGAATCCAAATTGAAACTGGCAGAATTACAAAGGACAATTTCCTGGGCTGTTTTTTTTTTTTTTTCAACTTGCTTGTTTCAAAAAAAAAAAAAGTTGAAACTGTCTCTGTTTTTCATTTGAGGGGGGAAAAAAATTCCTGTGTTTTGATTCTATAAAAACAAAAAATGAATGAGGCATTTTAAAAGTTGTGTTTTTAATTAAAAACCAAAGGCTTGGTGGGTGGCATTCCCACTGCCCACTGGGGCCTCTGCCCCCCGCCCCCCCCCCCCTCGCGCTTCACCTTCAGCAGGTCAGTCTCCGAGTGCCCAGAACTGGCTTCACCCTGGGTACAAAGAGTTAATTTGCTCCCGCTGCAGATCCAAGATAACAGGAATAAAATTAGAAAATGCTAATTTTCCTAAGTCAGTCTAAGACACAGGATCCTGCCTGTAATCCACCTAGAGAGAAGCAATTAAAAACCATTATTTGTATCCATCCCCAGAGTTAATAATTTCTCATTCCAGATAAGATCCAAGCAAGAAACCCCATAATTGCAGCCCTGGTGAGGGGGCGGCGGATGGGACAGGCTCATGACTCAAGGAAGCTAACTAACGGGGAGCTGGGAAGCTGACCTGGTCCCGGGCCCCAGCTCTCTGCAGTCTGAAGACCAGACTGTTTCCCTGGGGCCAGGGATGCGCAACCCACCGGCTCCCTCTCAGAGACAGACAGGGATTTTGATTCCTTGTGGTACCCAGTCAGTCGCTGGGTCCTTGCCAGGATTAGCTCTTGAAAAGAGAGGAAAGGATGGGAGCAATAGGACAGTGAGTGGGGCTCTTCTTGCCTTGCATAGAGTCCCACCAGGTCACACCCCATGTCGTCCCCCATGCACGAACAGGAGTGATACCTAAGCACTGAGCCTGGAGTAAGCCTTGAGCATCGTCAGGTGTGGCTCCCTCC